TAGTTTCCTTAAATGATAGGGGTGGCTCAAGATTCATTTATGGTGTCCAAGGCCACCATTAGCCACCCCCTGGCTCTGCCACTGAACCTGGTGGTAGATAAAGTTGCTCCCTCCACTCTCCAGGATTCGTTACTCTGTGCCACCTCAGACAATGTTCACTTGGAAACTTTATTACACCTAGATGCAGCCACACAACAAAAAGCAAGTTGGCCCGTTGCTTATTTTTCAAGTAATCCAGCTCACAACGTTTACATATACATGTATATGGCGGTGGCCATCTTGGTTTTTGTTCTGGCAACCCAATTTTTTAATCTTTCTTATTCCTTGAAGTAGCCACACGCCAAAAGAAAAATCTGTACCTCACCTATTTTTCCAAGTTATCACATTCACAACATTCAGTTTCCCCTTGTTGCTCTGCACATGAGACGAATCGTGAATATTTCTGAAAGTCTGTCCCGTTACAACACAACAGGAGTAACATTCACAAAGTAGCTAAAAGCAGATTTAAATGGTGCATCTTGGGAACATCATGGATGAATGGATGGATGGAGTTTACTGCAGGGCTATTCAACACAACTGCTCAGGGGGTCACAGTTACTGAGAGCAGCAGCTCAGGGGCCGGACATCCAGAGATTAAAGTCATTATGTAAATAAACCAAGTTTTACAATGGTCTGTTACCTTTTAAATTTATTTTATTGCACTGAATCATAAATGCAATAAATAGAACCCAAAACTCAAATCCCGAACCCCCCCCCCCCCCCCCCAAAAAAAAAGAAAAAAGTTTTTATTTGTTTTAATGAAGTCCTTGGTGGGCCTGATTGAAGTCACCCGTGGGCTGTAAATGGCCCGCGGGCCACCTGTTGATTAGCCCTGGTTTACTGTAACTACTCAAACGTTTAACTCTACTCCTTGAACACAACAGCACTGCAGACTCGGTGACTTGACCAAAATCAAAAGGCCAATGAAACAAGATCCAGGATCTAGGAGATCAATCCTGCTGGTTCTGCAGAGGCAGCAGCTCTGTGGAGCTTCACCCAGGAGGCTCCTAAACGCAGCTGAAGCAAGCGCTTTCTGAGCCTTTCATCTGAACACTGACAGCAGCAAACACCGTCTCCCTAAAACATCTCAAACCAAACACTGGTGGGTTTTCACAACAGCTCACAGATTATTAATCCAGGTGGCAGCGAAGGATTGAAAGACGTTTGAAAGAAAGGAACCATCTGACAATCAACAAATGTTCTTCAATTTAAATGTTTTTTTTCTGCTATTAAACCTGTTTTGTTCCTCTCATTTTAAGCTGAGGACACAAACACAACCGTGTCTGCATCTTAATTTACCGCACATCACAACACCAGCAAACTCACGATTCATCCTTTTTCCACCAGAGAAAAATAAAATAATTTAATAAAATACAGATTCAGACAAAAGACAGAGGAAAAGCTCAACCTATGTATCATTCATTACATGACCCTCCAGTAAAACATTAAAAAGTGACCGTTTTGATGATTTAAAAAAACTCCAGATGTGCACCTTGTATACGTACAGATAATATTGCTCTTACACTAAAAAAGTGAAATATTTATCTATAAATTTTCCAAAACAACAGAAACAATTTACATTTAATTTTTTTCATACTTTTTTTTTAAATTAAATCACATATTTACCCACAACCCTAGTAAACTAGACAACCCTCAACCCCTTTGGCACAATGATCATATTAATAGCAATTAATATTATTGTTATAATGTTTAATTACAAGACATCTGAACAGGATTGGTCACTCACACATTCAGAAGTAACACAGTTTCTCTAGTCGTAACACATCGGTACTGTATGTTATAGATAAAAACTTTTTTTTTATTTTTTAACTTTGTTGATATGTAAATAAATTAACTTTCATCTTGAAACAAAGCAAAACTGTCTTTGCATGCCCTTAATATGTACAGAATCACATCGTCTGAGTTTGTTCTTGCACAAAGGCCAGACAGAAGTCAGACCAGGAGCTGCAACGAACGCAGCCGAAAAGATGGAAAAGACGAGAACGATTTACCTGCAACGACTTGAAGCACTGACTTTACTTTGAAACCACTTGACTGGATTTCTTGAATTCTGCACCAGAGATTGTGTTTCATGCATTCGAACACTTTGACATTTTGATTTGTGTTTCTGTGGAGGGAGCTGACCGAGAGCCCAGGCCTCGTATCTCTAAAGCATCTTTATTTATCGACGCGTCTTAGAAGGACTCAGGAAATGAAAGTGTTGGCACGTGTAAATACATTCAATTTAAAGGCGTCCCCAATTCGTACAGAACCAAATGTGCCACTTCAGGTTTTTGCAGTTGTTTCGACATCTATAAAAACATCACTTAAAATGACAGACACTTCTCCTCCTATAAAATGTCTCCTAGAAAAAGGGATTGAAATATTCTAGTATTGCCAAACTTGGTTAAGTGTGTCCACCCTCCAATCCAGGAAGCCACACTAAGCCAGACGTGGCTGCTGTCGGCAGTGCAGTGGTTTAGTGGTTAGCACAGTTGCCTCACAGCAAACAAGTCCTGGCTTTAAGACCCAGACTGGCCTGGGGTAGTTTTTGAGTTTGCATGTTCTCCTTGTATGTGGGTTAGCATTCCAGTTTCTCCCCACCGTCCAAGAACATGCATATTTAGGCTGCCTTCAGGTCCAGGCCTCCCTTAAAAAAAGAGATCTCAGTGGGATTTGCCTGGTTAAATAAAAAAAGCAAAATAATAAAATGTAAAAACTCTTGCTGAGAGCGAGCTGAGACTTTTGATACCACTCTCATGTTTGTCCAGTCATTACAAAAAGACTTCCAGTAGTCCGTTAGCTTAGCAAAAACTCCTCAAACATCTGTAAACTTTCACATTGTTACATATAAATACACAACTTTTCTTTAAAATCTATAAACTAAAAGTGTAGAAAAGACATTATTTGTTTGTGAATTTCTGAACATATTCTTAACAACATGAAGGTGCTAAGCAACAAACAGTGACGCTAAATATTTACCTGGAAAACATGAAAGTGGTATTGATTGTCCTCTAACATTAAAGAAGCAAATAACTTTGATTTTTTTTTTAATATAAACTTCTATATTTTTTCTTAAAATTAACAAGGCCTTTGATAGGGAATGAGTTATTTTTTGTGGCAAATGTAATTTACTCTGCCACGTACACACCATCCACAGTGTTATGTCCGTATTGGCACAGTGTTATTTTCCTCCACTTTTGTTAATACAAATTTAGATAAAATGCTAAGAAATATCTAAATAGATAACAGCTAATAGACGGATCCACTCAATAGTTTTTTCAAAACCAATCAGATTGAAGAAGAGCCCCAACTTGCTGAAACACAAATGTACTTTTGAAGCTCTAAATTCAGAGGGTTTTAATTTACCATTTGAAATAATTATCTATATTAGACTTTTGTATTCATATAAATATATTTTTTCATCAGATACTAATGTGCAATCTAGTGCCTAGAAATGTAAAAACATGAAAGATGCATCTGTTCATGGTCTCCGACATAGATCTCATCTAACTCTCAGCAAGACAGCGATTTCCTCGAAACAGGGGAGCATTTATTTAACGTAATGTCCAGGACAGTGTTTATTTGGCTCTATGTTGCAAACATCTTGACTGGCTATACTGGAAATCAGTCATTTTTTTACAGTTTCCTAATGGGATATTGTGAGAAAGTCATGTGTCTGTTTTCACCTCTGTTCAAAAGGGTTGCCCAGATTCAGTGTAAATTAAACTGTATGCGTTTCATTGAAAACTAAAAGTTATCAACCCTGTTCCACAGATGACCTTCAGCATACTGAGGAGGAATGTTCCTCCCAGCTTGAATCAATCAGTTTAACTCCACGAACATTCAAGACGACTTCCACTCCAATCAATCCCATTCAAAACACTGTCTTTGATGAACTGGGGCTACTACGACCTGCTGACACATTGTATCAAGAAAATACCATGACTGGGATCCAGCTAAGCCCCGCACAAAATGGACAGTTAAATGTCACACATCGTCAATGAGCTCTGAGGTCAGGTTTCACCCAATAATCCACCCGAGTGAGTCTGAAGATGGAAATGTTTACAATGAAACAAGGCCCGGTCTTGTCAGCCCCTGTGCTCCCTCTTTCTCAAGTTACAGACAGAGAGCTACAAAAAGTTTGGTCCCAATCGCTTCAGGAATCGTGTAGAAAATATACATTCAAACTTTTGACAAAATTTACTGAAAGAGTAGAAAATATAGCTGCATGAGAAAGAGGGATGATGGAAAAGTCATGTGGTGGGAGCCGGCTGAGGAAATAAAAACAGGCTAAAATTGCCACAGTTACAGTAACGGACAGCTTTCGCATACTGTTCCCACAATGCACTTTTGTCAGAAGAATGTTGGATTTAACCACTGAAGAAAAATCCATGACCTCTCTTATAGTTACAGTGCTTTTTCCCCACACACCTTATTTGTATGGGTGTGCTAACACTTTTGTGTTGCGTGTGCGTCTATGAGCAAATACATACTGCCCTTAATCACCTCTGTTTACATCCCACAGGCTGGAGGAGACAATTCTCCGTCATATCCCTTATTGTATCTCTGCTTTCTCAAAAATACACCCATACCCACTAATGCACGCACACACGCTCTTTAATTAGTTGACAGCAGAGTTACCTTAAAGCCACTAGCTCCAGCTGACTGATGCAGAATAGACTAAACTGTCAGGAATGATCTCTGCTGTTCCTGATGCCGAAACATCTCCGAGCCGGAGCGGCCATCTTCATTCATCACTTGTGAGAGACAGCAAGAAAATACGACACTGGCGAGCCTCTTGCACTTGCGTCTCACTGTAAACATGTAAACACAAACACAGCTTGGTGTCTTCACCAACCAGCCCTCTACTTTGACTACAGTTTGGACTCCAAACAATGACGAATGGATTCCAGTCCTATCCGTCCTCTTTCATCTCCACTTTGCTCATTTCCACTGCCTCACAGTGAGGATGAGCTCTGACTGTAGTTTCCGAGTGTCAGTCTGGCGTATCTGGGCGAAGGGGGAGACGGTGGAGGATGAGAAGGGACCGGAGGAACGTACAGATCTGTATCTGAGCTTTGGGAACTACTGCTGGAAGCCAGAGAGTCACGGAAGGGTGATGGAGGAGTTAAAGCAATTAGTTCCTCGTCCAGCTCTGCCCTCATCAGTGGGGAGTCGGCGAGACAGGTGGGCAGGTTTCCTCGCATGGGGGAGAGAGACGGGGAGGCATGAGGGTGAGGCGGCAGGGGGTAAGGTGAACAAGGAAGAGGGTGAGCGAGACAGCCACCCCGGCCGGCCTCAACATGGGGGAGGGGCTGTACGTCAGCGTAGGTGGTGAGGGTCGAGGACATTTGGATCTCACGGGGTAACAGGTAAGGGTCATGGGGATGGGGGGAGGGTGGGGTGTGTTTGTGTGTGTGCGAGTGCGAAGGAGAGGAGCAGAGCATCATACTGTTGAGCTCGGTGATGTTGGCCGTGAAGCGGTTCACCACACAGCTGATCTGGTCCATCAGTGAGCTCTGGTGGGGCACTGCGGGGCAGTCGTCCACAGCGACCAGGCGGCCCTCGCTTCCAGCTGCAGCAGAACCGCTGCTGGGAGGTCCGCAACTACTGGCGCCGCTGCCGCCACTGCAAACGCTGCTGGAGTACTGAGGAGCGGCGACCATCTGACACTCCTCCCCTAAGCTTGCCCCGATTCTCTGGCTGACGGTGCTGATCGGTGACGGCGTCTGCGGCCGATACGTCATGGAGTAGTGCTCTTCTGCTTCCGACAGCTCATACAGGGTTTTATCTGTGGCGCTGTCAGGATGAGTGGGCAGGGAAAACATAGACGGGAGGGACGGCAAAGGGACGTGCGGCGGCAAGTCGGCCCCACCACAGTACCGCTCCTCAGAGATTTTGGAGAAGGGCTTAATCACTGCAGTTTGGTTGTTCTCCTTCTTCTTGATGTGGAAGGACAGCCGCTGCCACAGGTGGTTGCCATGTGAACTGCTGCGCTCTGTCTGAGCCCAAGAAACCGATTTACCGTTGGAGCTGCAGAACAGCAAGAAAACAGAAAGATGTCAAGAGCTGGGAACGAGATGAACAAATTCAGGGCTCTTCATCATCATCCTGTGACTAAACAGTAATCGTGCTTAGTAATGACAAGGAATAATTAAATCAATTACCAGGTATTTTCATTCAATCACACCAATCGCTTTGACTTCATTACTTTTCAATTCATGTCTAGCAAAATTAAATCTTATTATTTTTACTTCTGCCCAGGAGGTTATGTTTTTAGTAATGTTGGTTTGTCTGTCTGTTGACAAGATTACTCAGAAAGTTATGCTCAGATTTTCAGGAAATGTTGAAGCTGTCACGGAGAACAAATGAAACAATTTCACCATAAAGATCTGTTTTTTTTTAAAGGGTTCTTGTGTCTGTGCACAAGATGTTACTGTGTGAGTGACCCGGGTTTTGGCAGAGGTGTGCGCTGTCCGAGCACTTCTAGTTCTTAAATGATCTACATTTTTATTACCGTTTTAACCACACTGCCTTTTACTACATATACTTACACACTATTTAACATACTTTTATATCACACTCATACATATGAGTGTATGGGCACGGCCAGTGGTGTAGTCTACATTTTTGTAGTGGGTATACTGTACTTAAAAACCAATGTACACTGGTTAGTACAATGTACTCATCAATTTATTTAGATTTTTAAACATAATGACATTTCCAAATTTCTCTGATGCTTATATTTGAATAAATGAACAACAAACTTTGTTCAACAGTTGGCTTTGTATAAAAAACATGTTATAGAACTTATAAAACTGTATCAAAGCAAAACATGTTCAAGTTTTAAGTTGTAAGTACAATAAAGTAGTAAGATACAATAATTTGCTGACTAAGCGAATGTAATGAAAAAACGCTGCATACAGATAAGATACAGAAGCATTTAACTGCCGTTTAACATGTCAACGACATGTACCTAATGATGTGTCATGTATCATTGGGCACTTTTTTTTATTTTTTTAATTTATCCTTTATTTATCCAGGTAGTCTCATTGAGCCACGAGAACTCATTTTCAAGAGAGACCTGTTTAGGGAACAGATGATGGTTAAGGACCTTGCTCATGGGCCCAGGGCGGGGCGAATGAGGGTGGGGCAGCTGTGGGTTCTTCACCTACCCCACCCACATTTTTGATGTTGTCGGTACCGGGGCTTGAACAGGCGATCTTCCAATCACAGGCCCACCTTCTCTAACCTCTGCGCCATCACTCCTCCCTTTTAAGTGTGTATACTGAAATTCTTGAGCTTTTCTAGTGGGTATACTCCGTATGCCCACATATCACGTAGACTACACCACTGGGGGCAGCAGGGGTTCATTGTCTTGACCAAAGACATTTTGGCATGGTACAGGGGCTGGGAATCAAACCTCTGACCCTGCAATTGGAAGACAAGCTACCTTGCAAGTTTTTTCTCCCAACTTTTTAATGCTTCGCCTCACCAGCTGCTACAGAGCGCTAACCCTTGCTGCCCTTCCATCTTTTTGTCAGGTTAATTAGTGTGATCAATTCATAGTGGAAGTCCTGATTAAACCATACACCGTCATGATTGGTGGTAAAAGGACTGAAATTGTCCTGGTGACAGACACTCCCACACATCCATATGCCTTAGTGTTGATTATAATCTGCAGATAAGACATTCTGTGCTCATCTCATCAGAACCGTTAAAGATACATGGTGCACATACTAAATCGGTGCTGGACCGATCATTTCTTGCATGACTTGCATTCATCTTGGAGAATGAGTTTAATGTCTGTTAAAGGTGAGCCAAGCTTTTCTTAGTAGTTCAAATATTTGACTCAAACATCGGTCAAACATTTTATTACCTCTAAATTTTCTTCTCCCTCAAGTCTGCCTGATTTATCTGCGCCTGTTCGGTCTGCACCGACAATGACAGCATCTCAAACACAACCGCTTCCAGCTCTACACTGAAGAGATAGACAGCCCTGCCAATTACCACCACCTACAGAGGACGGTGGGACCAAGAGAGACGGAGCGGGGAAGGCAGGAATAAGGGGGAACAAAGACTGAAACACTCCTGACATTTTTCTTATGAGTGTGATTGAAATCTTGCTTGCCAAGCAGGGTGAGCTGGAGTAACCTGCTGACACATGATAATGTGTTCCTGTCTTTCTTTTTCTCAGACAAGAGGCTATGCGTCACTCCTTTGAAGTGCTTTGATCGGGTCCTTGTCACAGTGGATAACTGGATGGTCTGAAAAGATGGGTGCAAGAGCTATAATGTTCTCCCTTTTTCACACTACTTCTTTGGTCCTCTTTTTATTTGACATCATTTCAGCCCTGCATTTATGTCTCCATTCATCACTTTCATTTTGTGTATTCTTCTTTTTCCACTTGGTACCCTCACCTCCTTTGTCACGTCTCCATTAGGCAGTTTTCTACAGTTCACGTTGGGGTCAGAAAAAACGTCAAGTACATTCAAGGGAATACAGATAATAAATCTCTCGGAGCGTTCAAATACACAGAGACCATAACTGCTTTCTTAAGTGGGGCCATTACAGAAAATTGCCTTGGACTGTAACTCATGAGTAACCTGGCATTAACCTGGGCTTCAAGCCTCGGGGGGGGGGGGGGGGGGGGCACAGTCGGCACTCACACATGGATATACCTGAGTGTCTCTGCGGTCGAGCCTCTGCGTTTCCACAGATTAACCAGGCTGGAAGAACGGCTGGCAGCTGAAGATGATTTGCCGTCCCCCACATGCATGCGCACCACTGTGCTCGTGGTAAAGGCACTGCGCACGTTTCGCTCTGGTTTGGCCAGGATGATATACACCTGATTTCAGATAAAACATTAGGAATATTCTTTAAACGTAGTCTAAGATTCAGATATAAGACAAGGCCATAAATGGATTGAGTTCACATTTTGAAAAAAAGCAATCCATTAATCAATCAAGCAAGCAAGCCTTAATTTTATTGTACTTTTCATACAAGTCATACATCATGAAGTGCTTTATAGCAAAATAAAAAGTCTAGCTACTAAAAACAGAATATCTAAAAGTTTGTGTTCTGCTCTATAGAACAGCTAAAAGAAAGGAGCCAGATCTGAAGGGTCGTCCTGGTTCATAAACCAAGACCATCTCTCTGACAGTCTAGTGCTTGGTCACGGAGGGCCTTAAAAACAATAAAATAATTTCTCAATCAATCCTAAAATAACGGGTAGCCAGTGTAAGGACTTATTAACAGGACTAAAGTGAGCTCTGGTCTTTGTCAGCACGCTCACTGCTGAATTATAAATCAATTGGATTTATTGGACTCTTTGGAAGACCAGAAAGGAGAGCATTACAGTAGTTCAGCCTGCTAGTCATAAAACCATGATTTAGTCTCTCAGTATTGCCCAGAGATAAATGGCCTCACCTTGAATATATTTTTAAATGATAAAAAACTGTTGTAGTTACTGACTGTATATGCAGTTTGGAGTAAAATTCTGAGTCTTGCCTCTTGGAATGGGTATAATCCATAATGATTTTAAGTAGGGGGCAGTCTTTCTGTGTCTGTTTTTGGACTGAAGATAAGCACCCCAGTATTGTCCTGGTAAAACTATAAAGTTTGTATCATCCATATCTAAAATACACTTAACAAGTGAGTCGATGGGTCCAGTGTTGGAGCAGACAATCATTACCATAAAAGTAAAAAGAGATGATGTGTCTTCTGATGACAACGCCCAAAGGTAATATAAACAAATTACAAAGAATGGGTCCTAAAATTGATCCTTGTGGTACACCACAAGCAACGATGCAATCTTTGGATGAGTGATCAATTTTAACAATGAACTTCTTAATCACAAAGCTATGACTAAAACCAAATTAAAACAGTTCCAGATAGGGTCATTGTGGTTGTTAAATCTGTCTAAATTAATTTTGTGATCAATAGTTTCAAAAGTAGCACTGGGGTTACGTAGTGAAAGTAGAAGTAAAATATAAAGCCACTTCTTAATAGCAGCAGCTGTAATGTGTTTTGATTAATTGCATTTTTTGTTTAAAGTAAGATCTAAGTTACACAGTTGTTTGCAACATCTTGCACTTTCGGCAGATAATCAAAGCATCAATCAAAAAATATTTGTTTACACTTTGGGTAAAACAAAAGAGAGAAAGATAAGGCAAATAAAAGAGTGAATCAAAATAACTGATGCCGTTTATTTTAATTATAATGTGTTTTAATTGGAACAGAATCATACATAGATATGGAAATAAAAGCCAGAAGTTCTGCAGTTATTTTGCTATTCATACTGTTCTGATTAAGATTACAACCAAACGAGCTTTAAGGTTTCCTCTTGTTCTATACTGTATATTTCACTACTTGGAAAAAACATTGGAAAGGGGTGTACTTAGCAGCCCAAATTAGAGGCAGTGGGAACACATCAGAAGAGTAAAAAGGAAAACTTGTACTTTATTTTTAATCTTACCTTGGGTACAAACATGCAGCATAAAGCCACCGTGGCACTGAGGCTGACGCTGAAGCACATGGTGATAATTTTGTAGTTGGAGCCAAAGTAGATGGGTACAAATGCCAGCCAGATGATGCAGGTAGTGTACATGGTAAAAGCAATGTACTTTGCCTCGTTAAAGTTAGCTGGAACGTTGCGAGTCTGTGAGACAGACAGAACCAGAGCAAAACAGTAAGACAAGATTTAGTAAATATTGCTACAACTACTCATTTTTGTATATTCTTCCTCAAATTAGGAGAATAGAGCAAATAAAATCCGTGTTAGCTTTTGAGAACAGACCACACAGCCAGAAAAAACACTTGGTGTCATTTAACAACTGCAATGGCATTTCAGGTATAATGTTATCGCTAACTTATATTGACTGTGTAAGTGTAACAGATGAAACATGTGGGCAATAAACCTAAACCTCCCGAGTCACGTTGATGTCCTCAGCTGCTGGGTTCAGCTTGATACTTTGCATGCTGCGTCTCTTTTCATACTTCAGCTCTCACACTGAAAATCAATGTCTGCAGGGCCTCTGGTAATCAGACACTGACTTTATTATGTGCATGACGCAACACAATTTTATTTCTTAAACATTAACAGTGCTTTAATCATTTCCTTTTACATTTTGTCAGTAAGACACAGAACAATAGCTACTAAACTGGACTAATGTTTCAGCAATGTTTGTTTTTTAAACATGAATCTTGAAGGTGAAGGACATTTTCTTGTTTTTAGTTTTCTACATCGCCTTACAACCTAGCTGGGGGTTTTTTGTTACGGTTTTTAAAATATTTTATTTTCACTTGTTCGTCAAATTTTATAACAAGTGTTACTCTTACACGGCCTTCATTCACTGCCTTACATGTTGCGTTATTTTCATGGTGTAAGACAAAAAGGACAAAAAATAGAAAATGGATGAAAATAATCAGTTTTTCACGTTTTGCCTTTGTTTTTAACGTTATTACTTGCTTGTGTAATTCAACACTAGTTACAATCTTGCATTAGTCCTTTTTTTTCTTTTAAGATTGCAGGATTAAGTGTGTGTGTTAATTAACAACAACACTGTAGTTACAAATATTAAAATTCCCACCTTGAAGGCATAAAAGGTGCAGCTGAGGATGAGCAGTCCATTGTATCCCAGGGGGGCAACTACTCCGAGGTTAGTGGTGTTGCAAATGAGATTAACCTGGCGGATGCTGGGATAGTCATGGATCACCTGCATGTGACGAGTGGGCATGACATGGCAATACGTCAAAGTTTGACAAAACCATTGGTACAAACATTATTTCAGTAATCGTTAAAGACAAACTGCAATGAAGAAACAACAGATGCAACTGGGAAAGCAATGCAAACACAAACACCTGAGATTATTTCTATTACACAACCAAGTTGAGTTACTTATTATTAAGTCTTGTAGACTTCAATAGAAAATCACAGCAAAGTGAACTGATACCTTAAAAAAAATCCTCAGAGTTTCTCAAAGAGTAACTGATTTGTAAAGTGCTAATATGTATTTGTCAAAAATTTTGAAATTATATCACATTCTTTTTGATATGCTTTTCAAATGTTTTTGTTTATTAACTTTTAAATTACAGTAGTCGCTACATCGCGGTTCATTTATCTCGGATTCGCTCCATCGCGATTTTTCAAAATAAGATTGAACACGACACACAAGTGGCTGATTGATGGATGAGCCGCACGATTGGCATGACATTTTTATTTAAAATAAATTATTTTAAATTATTTAGCACCTGCAGCACCTTTGTGCAGCCCACATTGCAGGATAAGCTTCCTCCTGCAGCTGATCAGCTGACCTCCGTGCAGAGTGGAGTTGTAGGCGTGGCCAAGAGCGCTTGCAGGTGGCAAAGAGCAGCGGAGGCAGAGAGAGGGAAATCATGACATTCTGTGCTCTTTTAGAGTGTTTAGAGCAGGGGTGCCCAAAGTGAGGCCCGTGGGCCAAAGTTGGCCCGCCACAATGTCCTCATTACTATATTAAAATTTCTTTTGAAGAATCAATGTGTTTACACTCATTAATTCCACCCATTGACTTTACTGTTAGTCGGCCTGACTACCATAATTTAACTACATGGATTACACAGTAGAGTAGATAATTTATGTATTTTTAAAATAATTTTATTATT